ATGAAGACAGAGGCAAAAAAAGCATTGAGTACATTAGCTTTTTCCACATCCTCTGTCACTAGGTTGCCTCCCTCATTCAGTAAGGGACCCCCACTTTTCTTGACCTTCTTCTTGTTGCTAACATACATGAAGAAACCCTTCTTGTTACTCTTAACATCTCTTGCTAGCTGCAATTCCAAGTGTGATTTGGCCTTCCTGATTTCACTCCAGCATGCCTGAGCAATATTTTTATACTGCTCCCTGGTCATTTGTCCAGTCTTCCACTTCTTGTAAGCTTCTTTTTTGCGTTTAGGATCAGCAAGGATTTCACTGTTTAGCCAAGCTGGTCGCCTGCCATATTTACTATTCTTTCTACACATCGGGATGGTTTGTTCCTGCAACCGCAATAAGGATTCTTTAAAATACAGCCAGCTCTCCTGGACCCCTTTGCCCTTCATGTTATTCTCCCAGGGGATCCTGCCCATCAGTTCCCTGAAGGAGTCAAAGTCTGCTTTTCTGAAATTCAGGGTCCGTATTCTGAAGAAAATTGTTGATGCCTGCGACCCAATGGAGCTGGGGATGAGGGGTTTGCTGTGTGGGAGGGGCTCAGGGCTGGGGCAGAGGGTTAAGGTGCAGGGGGTGACGACTGTGGGGTGGGACCAGGAATGAGGGGTTCAGGGTATAGGAGGGGGCTCTAGCTGGGGCAGGGGGTTGGGGTGCGGGAGGGGATCAGGGCTCTGGGCTGGGGATAAGGGGTTTGGGGTGAAGGAGGGGGCTCTGGGTTTGGGGGGCTCAGGGCTGGGGCAGGGAATTGGGGTGCAGGGTTGGGGCGCAGGCTTACGTCGGGCGGCTCCCGGTCAGCGGTGCAGTGGGGGTGCAGAGGCTGGCTTCCTGTCTGTCCTGGCACCGTGGACCGCGCTGCGCCCCAGAAGCAGCCAGCAGCAGGTCTGGCTCCTACGCGGAAGCACTCAAGCAGCTTCACATGGCTCTCGCCCGCAGGCACCGCCTCCCCAGCTTCCATTGGCCAGTTCCCGGCCAATGGGAATGCGGAGCCGGTGCTCGGAGCGGGGGCAGCATACGGAGTCCCATGGCCCCCCTGCCTAGGAGCCAAACCTGCTGCTGGCTGCTTCCAGGATGCAGCACAGTGTCAGAACAGGCAGGGACTAGCCTACCTTAGCCGGGCAGCACCGCCAATGGGACTTTTAACGGCCTGGTCGGCGGTGCTGACCAGAGCCGCCCTGACCCAATGCCTGACATTCCGTGACCCGGTTCTGGGTCGCGACACGCAGTTTGAAAACCACTGTCATAGGGTAGGGGTACAGAAGGGCTATAAGTGCAAAGAATGAATGGCATTAGAATTACTAATGCCAGTTGCTGGAAGAAAAGAGACTAGAACTCATAGGATCTTGGCTGCCTGCATTTCCCCTGTGCAAGCAGAAGGAGGAGAATCTGGTTTGCCCAAGCCCCATCTGAAGCACTAGCTACGGCCCTGGCACGTGTTAGAGGAGGCTGAGTGGGGCGCAGGCTCAGTGCAGGTAGAACATTCCCAAGCTGGTTGCAAAAGTTTTGACATTGTGAAAAGCTCCTAGTTCTTTTATGGAAAACGGCTGCACCGTTTCCGTTCCAACTTTCAAAAATGTCCAACCTGAGGCAGAGCCCAGACATGAGGAATTTCTGCCTGAGGCGAGTGTTGGGCTACCTCAGCTCTAGGTGTCGCTGCTGCTCCACTGGCAATAATCGTATAATACCCCAAATCTCAACTCCTCTGGGACGTCCCTTTCTGGGTACTGAGCTTTCCGTTCTGCTTATCTTTGCTGCTATGTGTCATTTCACTAGAAGACGTGCAAGCTTATCTTTCTATTGAGTCAGAAAAAACTGGTTCTGTCAGAAATGGGGAAGTGCTGAATCTCAGGGCAAGGGTGGGCGGTGTTCTTTGTTCTTTCCATTTCTAGTGGATTACACTAAAATGTAGCTATTTTTATCTGAGTTGTGGTTGTGGCCAAGGAAGTGACTCAAGACTTTGGGTGCCCAAGCTCCGATGCCTTAAACAGGCCTGGGTCTCAAAGGTAGCTGCTTAGCTCACCCTGAAATCCAGGCCCATTTCAGGTGTCTCTAGTCACATGTCACTTCTGGATCTCTAGGCCAACAAGGTATTCAGGAGCTGGATTGTCAGGAGTGACTTTGTTATCTAAATTTGGAAATATTTCTGTACTTGGAAGGTCTTTTATGTAATGTATTGGTTTTCATCCCAAACACTAAAGTATTTCAGTCTCTCTAATGTTAGAACAGGCCAGTGACTTCCCCAGGCACCGAGGACAGGGTTAGTTAGTGTGCGGGGGAATTCAGGGCACTTTGCCAACATTTGTGTAAATGGCGCTTGCTCGGGAGAGCTGGTTGGGAAGGTGCTGCAATTCACAGGTACAGCAATGTCTGGGGTGAGTGCAAACCACATCTGACACGACTGGTTCCCAAAACCCAGGGCTGGAGTGTGGCTGCACTGAATCACTACAGGAACCCAGACTGCTCACATCATTTGAGCTGCAGGCTTGTCCCTGCAACGGGACACTCGCCTTGTGTAGACAGGTCTCCTCTTTCTCAAACACATACACACTTCCTCTCACTCTTGTCTCTGCCCCATCACGCCCTTCCTTAGACTGCGTAGAAGGCGCCCCCATTGCTCCCCTCTTGCTGGTAGAACAGTCTGGTTCTGAGCTGTCTCCACACAGTCTTACCTGAGTCCTGTTCCAGTGACACTTGGTGCGAACGACAAAAATCAGAACGATCACAATGACAGTGCTCAGCACTGTGAGAAGAATCCACACATCATAGTCTGGCTGTTGGAGAGAGACAGAAGATCCGTTACCCTGGTAGGAATGAGAGCAGGCCAGGCTCCTGATCCCTTCAGACATAGGAGGGGTGCCCGGCCAGACCCACCCTCCCAGCTCTTCACAGGGAAAAGAAAACCAGTCTGAGATCCTCGCTGCAATCTCAGCCCCTCTTGGTGTCTCAGCTCGCTATGCTTTGCTCTGCAGAGCAAAGGGCCTGAGCCTGGTACCAGATAAAGAGACAAGACATTTCCTTAGATGACTTGGGAGGTTTCAGAGAGAAATTGCCAATGAGCCGAAGGGGCTTTACAACCTTCACTAGCCGTGGGAAGCCTGAGCCACAGAGGAGGAAGAGGGGCTCCATCTGGCTCTTGCAGAGGGCCAGGGTGTCACCTCCCATGGAAGGGAGGCACAGCATTGCTCCAGTGCTGGAAAGATTGACCTGGAGTGGAAAGGAGAAGGCGGGTATGACATGTTCCTCACCCATGCTGGCTGCTCTTTAACCTCAATCTTCACATGTGCTTCTCGATTCTTGTTCACAACGCCCATCAGAAGCTCAGCATCATGGCCCCGGATCAACACCACAGGCTGACTCAGGCCCCTGGGTTTCCTCAGCTGCAAAGAAACAAACTTGTTCATGAGCTGGCCCAGAGCCCAGCCTGAGACATGGGTGTGATGGAGATTTATCAACACCCACCATCAAATAAGGTGTGGGGGAATGAGGACTGCTGCCCAGGACAAGAGCTACCATCGCTGCCCAGAACCCATGACATGGTATATTTATTATTGCCCTTCTGCTCCTCTGTCTGCACCAGATGGAAGCGCCTCATCCCCCCCACACCCTGGCTCCTGCCCACCTCTCTGCTCTTGCCTCTACTGCTCCCCTCCCTGCCCCTTTCCTGTCCTTGTCCCTGCCTCCTCTACAGGCACTGCTGGTCTCTTGCTTTCCTCTTTCAACCTCTTCCCCAAAACCGATAGGCTTCACCTCAGAGAGGGGATGATGCTTCATAACTCTTGCAAAAAAATAATGAACACCCTGGCGTGTCTCACTGCCTTTACCCCGCCTCCTGTCTCCCGCACCGTACGTTGTCTGTCTCAGTTGTAAGCTGTTTGGTGCAGGGCCTTTGCCTTTATACTGTACCTGCTAGTAAAGTGCCTAGCCCAATGCTGGACCTCAGGAATGAGTGAATAAATCCACTATGAAAAGTAATGGGGCCAGTACCCGTGATCGGGGCCACATTCCTTCTTGTGTACAGTGAGATGGGCACAGTCTCTCTAGCCCAAATCTGAGCTTTCTTCGCTAATTCACCCACATTAGATCCTGGTTAGTCGTTATTTGACATAACTAATGCTGCCTGCCTCACGCCCAGGTCAGCAAAAGCAAGGCCTGCTTCCTCCCATGGACCTAGTGGAGGCTGCTCTTAGCCTGCACGTGTTACGCCCTGACACAGTGTCCGTGGGGAAGGGTCTAGGGTTCTTCTCACTAAAGCAAAGTGTTCTTTGTCGCCAACAGCCACGTTAGTTTAGACTCACTTCCCGTGACTCTAGCACCACAGAAAGTGGAGCCTATTCATACCTATAGCCTGCAGTTCTCGTTCCGCTTAGCCTGGTGCCATTTTGACTGTACGCCAAACACTAGCAACCATCATTGACCACCCACTTACACAACAATAACAGCTACTCCACACAGGTCTGAGACTTGCTCCATGCCATTATTCTGTCACATGGGGTGGGAGGAAGCAGCTCCCTTTGTGTGAGACCAACACAGTTGATCAGCAACAGAGAAAAGAGCCGGCGAACCCTGAGCTCTTTGCACACAGCTGGAGTTCAGAAGTCTACTTGGATTAATTCTGAAGAGCAGCAATCTCTCCTGAGACTGGATTGTCCCACACCCTCCCACTCCCACGTCCTTCACCACCAGCTCTCTCCAGGTGTCTCCCTACCAACCATGCTCTTTCTCTAAACACCTGATGTACCTCCTTGTGCACTGGCGCTCTCTAGGGACCAGATGTCTCCTTAGGGAACAGATGCTCCTCAGTGACCCTGGGTAAAGTCAGTGTTGTAGATGTTTTACCAGTTGTGAGAGTCTATATGGCTCCCTCATGGGTAACGGTTTGGCTGCTAGCATGAGGACTCTGGAGGGACTGCACTTGGCAAACTCGATGCCGGAACAGTTTGGCTGCACAGAGCAGGGATTGTGTGCAGAAATGCCTGCTTGGACATCTAGTTGTGCGATGGAGCTACCCCATTAGGGAAAGGCTTTGTGCAAACTGGGCTCTCCGTGTTCGGGATGAGCTGGGGAAAGGTCTCTGTTCTATGGTAGGTGTACTGAATGGAGGAGCCAACCTGCACCATCACCCCTTGCCTCAACCCCAGCTCTGTCCCTCCATTTCTGCAGGTCATGGCTGGTATGGAGAAGGGGGAGCCTGGACTGGAGCTGTGTGTATTTCAGGACAGGATGGTATCACTGAAGTTTTCCTGAAGGTATCAATAGCGTTTGTACCTGGTCAGCAGCGCTTTCATCATCTGTGATGTCGAAGAGGATGGCACGAGCCCCCCGCTCCCCTGCTAGCTTCGCCTGTCCAAAAAAACAGACCAAGAACATGAGTGGATACTTCATGCTGCACTTATGTGTTTTGCAAGGCTCGCTAGCCTAGCAGCAAACGCACAAGATCCAGAGGTTAGAAGCTGAAGTCAGCTAGAAACAAGACATGATATTTTAACAATGAAGCAGTGACCCGTTGAAGTAGCTTCCCAGGCGTGGAAGATTTTCCATCACTTGGAGCCTTGAGGTTGAGATTGGCTGTCTCTAAAAGATCCACTCCAGCTGGCCCACAAGTGAGGGCCCAATGCAGGGCTTGCTGGGTGACGGTCTCTGGCCTGTGCCATGCAGGAGGGCTGAATGGACAATCAGTGGCCTTCACATCTATGATTGTTACCGCAGGAGACTTTGTACAGTGTGTGGCTACAGCATGATCTCTCAGAGCGTTGGTCTACACTGCAGCTTTGCGTGTGCTTCCCAGCCCAGGCAGATGGACACATGCTAGCTCTGCTTGAGGTAGTGCGCTACAAACAGCATTGTAGCTGGGCTTGCATGGATGGCAGCTTGGGCTAGCTGTCCAGGGGTCCAGGCGGGTTGGTCCCCCAGCAGCTAGCCTGAGCTGTCGCCTATGCTACCCTCGGCTACACTGATATTTCTAGCATGCTAGTTCCAGCAGAGCTCGCATGTGTCTGTCTACCCACATTGGGAAGCGCACGCCCAGCTGCAGTGTAGACATACCCAGGGTTATATACACCCGTTAGTTCCTAGGTCTCCTTCGTGCCCATTCCCACGTTTGCATCAAAACACAAATGTACCATTACTCTACAGTACACAGTGTCCAATGCACACACAATTATACACACAGATACACTCACTTAGGCATCATCACAGCACATGTGCAAACACATGTGAAACACACATGTACATATACCCAGACATTGTCATGCTTACGTATCCATGCACATATTCATGCTTTAATACTTATAACCGTGCTCACATGACACCCACCCACCCACACACAGCCATGCCGCCTGTGTCTGTACACATGCGCATGTACACACACACACTTACACATATACACACACGTCTGCAGGCATGCCCACACACATGCCTGTGTCTGTACACATGCACACACACATATACATGTATATACCTACACTTACACACGTCTGCATGCACAGACACACATTTCCTTGCGCACGCGCACACACACACACACACACACACACACACACACCACACTTCATCATTTCTTCTGATGCTTTCAGTCCAGCACATCCCCACTCCCCTCAGTGCTGAGCTGGGTTTGCATCCTGCAGGCTTACAAGGTGCAAATATGGTGATAGAATGTGAATCCACTTGCTTTCCCCTCTTCCATATAGAAAGCCTCATTTATCCCCCAAAACGAAGGGGGAACTGGAGCAGGGTTATTGCACATGAAAAGATCAATGGGGCGTTTCACTTCCAAAGAGCCAAAAGAAAGGAGGCAGGATGGTGCAGTGGTTAGGGCCCAGGACCTGGGTTCAAGGGCTGACTCTGCCATAGAGTCCGTGTGTGACCTTGAGCGAGTCACCTAGCTGCTCTGTGCCTTAGTGCTTAGCTGTGCAGCAGGGTAACGGCCTTGCCCTGCTCCCAGGGGCTGTCTGGATACACGCATTAAAGCCGGTGAAGCTCTCATGTACTATGGTGATGGGGGCCATACCCTAGACAGGAGAAAGAAGAAAAGAGATTGTCAGACACCTTCACCTCCTGCCTGTCCGCCCTGCCCGCTGTGCCTGAGAGGGGAACAGGTGAGATGGAGGAATAGGGAACTGACCTACCACCTGAGAGAGCAGGACAGAAAGCACCAGCAAGGGCTCCATCTACGAGAGCACGGGGAGAGTGTGGTAAGGAGCACGAGGAAGAAGAGCAGCAAGACACCATCAGGGAGCAATGTCCATAGGGCAGAGCGAAGGCTGCTTTGGGCTAGCCAGTGGGATCTGTTACAGAGGCACATTTCATTGAGCGCTCTTCAGGGTCCCCTCCCTGCATTTCCAGGTGTTTTTAATGG